ATTTGTTCGAAATTCTTGAGTAACCGATTTAATTCCAATCTCATCAAAATTTCCCATCTCTTTACATTATAATACTGTAATAGTTGTATTTGGAGTGTTGAATTTCATTACTGAGCATAGTATGATGTTAATTCTCTAATTCTGTTTTTGTGAGAAATGCTTGTTTAATTGGGGTGATCGAGAATAGTATTAGAAAATGTTTGTTTATTTCATGACTTTATTTATTTTTTTTTTCATTAAATTTTATTTTAGTCTCTTTTTTTTTTAAACGAGAGGAATACATAAAGTATAAAATTATTATTGTTGTTGTCTCTGAAGTTTTTTTTTAGATTTGATATTATAATCTCAATTCTGGGTGATTTCGAGCCGTCAATATATCATTATTGCCAGCTACAAATAATTAAACACGTCTTTGTGATTAATTTTAAATTAATTGTTAAATTTTTAGTTTTTTTAAAAGGTTTGGAAAACCTTCGTCATAAATGTAAAATGTTCTTTGAAAGAAAAATGAAAAAAATTGATCATAAATTAAAAAATGCAAATTACAAACGAAATATGTGTTGAAGAGAACTATAGTATACAAGTGCTATCATAAAAAATATATATATATAGAAATCCCAAACCCAATATATAAATAAATCCCATTCAAAAATAATAATAAAAAAAAGGGTTTAAAAGTAAGTATATATAGAAAGTAATTTGTCATTAGTTTGCGGTACTCTATCCGCAGAAGATCTTTGATTATTTATATCATAATTTTGATCACTAGTCTTTATACTTTGAGATCGAGATAACTTTGCAAAGGAAGCCTCAACTTTTCTTTGAATTTGTAATTCCCTTTCCTTTCGTTCGTTTTCGACTTCCTCCATTAACCAACATTTGGTTGGTATCATACATAACCTACATTTATCTTTTACATGAAGTTGAGCCGCTATCGATTTGAATATTGTGTCCACAACTTCAGCACGTAAAAATAAAGAATGCTTTCCACCTTCTACAAGGGTTAACCTACAATCTGGCATATTATCTTCCATCCATTTCACAGCGGAAACAGGAATTCGATCATCTTTTGTTCCATGAAAAACATGTACAGGATGATCTACATCCGTATAGGAAAACCCAAAGGTTCGTCTTCGTTCAAAGCACATTATTAAATCATTATTTGCACCAGATAAATTTTCTGCAAAAGAGGCTTTAAGAATTGCTAAACCAAGTTGTTGTTTTTTCTCAAAACTTGACATTTGGGCAGCCAAAGCACCAGAAGTTCGATGTGAAGAAGGTTTTGTTGAATATGGTTGGCGGCCATGCATAATTTGTTGTATAGATATACCAGCGGAATTTGTAAATTTCATTACAGGAGTAGGAACAAATCTTAACCATTTGAAATTATTAGCTACGGTTGTGCTAACCCAAGGACATACAAGATAAATAGTACCCTGTAATTTATGAGGAATTCTCATAGCACAAGCGAGAGCATATGGAGCACCAGCACTGTGTGCCATTATAAAAAATTTCGGTATATCAAGTATATCACAAAGTTCATTTATAACATCTATATATAAGATAAAATATAAAATAAGTAAATAATAAATATGGTTAGTATTTATTCAGATCTACCGTTTTTCAAAAAAACCAAAACCAAAAATATTAATTACCAGGCCATTTTAATACTTCTTGATCATCAGACTTAACATCATCAGAAAGTCCAATACCAGGACGATCAGGACATATCAATCTCAAACCATAACTTGTCGCCAAATCATCAAAAAAGGCAATAAAATATCTAACACAACCCATACCCAAAAATACGAATACTGGAAAACCTGACCTATCACCTACTTCGGAAAAACTGACAACCCTTCCTGAACTTAATCTCACACGTTGCGTTAGACGTGGAGCGGCAAGGAAAGCAGTAATATCTAAATGGTTATCATCAACAGTTTGATCGGATGATAAAGAAGTAGTTGAAGATGATTGTATTGTTGGAGTAGTTGCTTTACTTGATGCCTGGGGAGAAGATTCACAAGATGAAGAAGGCTCAGATACCATATCAGTGGTTATGGTAAGAGTAGGAGTAGTGGAAGGTGGTGGGTCGTCAGTGATTAAAGGTAATTTTTTTTTGGAAAAAAGGGAGGCAGCAGAAGCTCTAACAGAGTTTGAACGCAAAGCAGTTGTAGACGCAGGCCTTTTTATAGTAGTGTTTTCTTGTAGAAGTTTAGTGGCCTTACTTGCGCTCAAAGAAATTGGACGTTGTGACGGCTGTTGCTGTTCTGAAGGTGAAACACCTAACTTTGAAGTATCAGTTTTCTTCCGCTGTGATAAAGAAAATTTCTTTTTTGAACTAGAAACTTTCTGTTTTAAGGAAATTGTTGGTTTTGTTGGTTTTGTCTTTGAAGATATTGATAAGGTATTAAATTTATTCGAAATTTCACTACTACTACTTGTAGTAGTGGTGGTGGTGGAGGTTGTAGAAGTCGGAGAAGAAGGTGTACTTTCTGGATATACGTTCATATTCTATAAGTAATATTGTTGAATATGCTAAACGGAATATATGATAAAAAAGAAGAATAATATATTACAAGTTGGCTTATGTTTTTAATAGTTTAATAGTTATGCGTTCGTTTAAAATAACATGCAGAAATATTTATGTAGTATGTAAAGATGTTAGGTGGTCATTGTTAACGCGCTAACACCTGCTTATGCCAGAAATAAACGAATATTAATTACTTACGGTTTTAAGGTCGTTTACCTTTAATTTTTATTTATTTTTTTTTTAATAAATGCTGGTTGGTTTTTTTTCCTGGTATTGCTTTCTTGTTTACTGATATAAGTTCCTTTTATACATATATGTCTTCTTTAGATATGCAATATATATAATAATGTCAAGTTACGATGCAAGAAGATTACGTGTCTAGAAATATCAAAAAAAATATACATAAAAGAATACCTATCGTCAAATATGAAAAGTTTATCGAAAAAAAGAAAGAAATGGATATATTTATTCGAAAGACAAGAAGGGAAAAGTATAGAAACGAACTTCCTTTGTTAGCGTTTTGTATTTGTTTGTGTAAATATCGTACATGTTTAATTACTGTATATTGGTTTAGAAGATCTTGATGCAATTAGCATATGTTGTGTAAATGGATTAAGTGTAGTCAATTGTGATTAACGTTAACCACCTTCAACGTTAACGTTAACGATTGAACAAAGATCGAGTGTTTTACCGGCCAACGATAGCCAACAGAATGTCTATTGTTTCCCTAAAATAATTAGTATAAAATCTCCTTTTAAATTAGTTGTTTGAGAAGCTATCTTTAAAGTTTATTACATAACGATTAATTTCTTCCCACAGTTTCGATTGGACGAGTTTTGACCAATTAAAAGCATTTATTTACCTATTCACCAATCAACATCTGTCACGAGAACAATATCAATGAACAGTCAAGCCTCTTACCAGACCAGTTGAGGAACCAGCTTCCATTTACTATTATATGATTTATTATCCAAATAAACAATTATCCTTCGGAGGCTTGATTAATTTTCGTTAGAATCAAAAACATTAATACACTTCGCCTTTGTTAGTAGACAAGTATATTAATATTAATAATAACAATATGAAATTGATCTTTCATACAGTAATCATTGATTAAAAGGTGATCGGATAACCTGACGAATAATCAAATTCTATCCAATTATGTATACAATATTGGGCAGGCGATGAAAAAATTTACTGTTATTTGTCGTATGCCCAGCAGTTATATATGGCCATGTGATGTTTTTCCTGTGATCTTTTTTGCATAAATGATTATGTAACCTCGTAACCTCATGCAAAAAAATATAAAAATTACATGATCATATAAATTTGATAATCGTAATTTATTTAAAGTTAACGTTAATATCCGTATAGTATTCCATGGTTTCGTTTACTTGCTTGGCTAGCCCCTGAAAAATCTACGTAGATCAGGAGGTAAATTTAATAAATTTGAGTAATCAATATCGATATTCATATCTCTTCAATTCTTCATTTTGTTTTTTTCGAAAATACTTTGTATTTTGTAAAGATTTGTTAATTCGAATTTATTTATCACAATCATAAATCCGAATATTAAATTGATTAATCTAAAATATCACAAAATTCGTGTAATAAATTCATGTTATAGTATGGGACAAGCGTTGGACGATGATGTCATATGACTTATGTCTTACGTGATTTGCCATATTACAATCTTATATGAAGTATTATATGGGGGACAAGTCGTTTTTAGTGAAATTTTTTTAATTTTTAAATTAAAATATCTCAACAACTATTTAATCAAATTTGCTAAAATTTTTTTTATTTTAATCTTGAAATAAAATAAAAAAAAATTTTATTAAATTTAACAAGAAAACTTTTACTTAGAAAAAATTTGACTCTTTTCTATTGACTTTTCCCATATAGTGATTTGTATAATTCTATATTATGA